TTTATCCGTGACGCGTGCTAATGCCCAAAATAAATGCATGAAGCGTGGATTTTACAGAAAGGCAAAGATAGGTGAGAATTGAAGTTTTTCCTTTTTTAAAAACTCGTAAGGCGTGAAGTTTTCTAAAATTCGTGCATCCCTTTGCCACTTTCCGCCTTGGACACCGAGAAACTTTGTTGGAAAATAGCGGTTCCTTCACCAAGCATATTTAATTGGAGTTTCTTTATATTAGGTACGATTAAAGGGTAGTTTTTCAAACTTACATGTATAAATCTAACAATAGAGTCTAACGCTTCTGAATGTCTTTTAAATGATAATTAGCTAGGTGGAACTGAAGCACGAGTTTTCTCTAGCCTTCAGAGTTTAAACTCAGGTCGATAAATTAAGCTTCTTTTAAAAATGAATCAAATAGCGCGAAGTACACTTTTCACTAAAAATTGCCTTCGTGTTTCGTTAAAATAATACAATATTATGAATTTCTCTTAATTTGATGCAAAGTATCGTTGCTAATGTGAATATCTTGATGCAAGTGTAGTAAAGCTAGAAATAACAGGCTTTGATCGATTTCCTCACAAGATCGCCTTGGGAAACAAAATTTAATAATGATCAGAGGGAAAGGACTTAAGAGAGTGGAAATATACAGTAATAACTGCTGTGGAAGCTGTTACTTTCGTTATTATCTATTTTAGTAAATTCGTTCCCTGGAACGGGTGGAAGAGTCCATAAATATTCCAACATTCCTTCGTGCATGTGTTTGTGATATGTGTGCAACAAAATCGAACAAATTGACCTTTCAGGCTTTCTGAGATAAGAGCGACCTTGCAAGATAAAAGACCAATACTTGAAAGTGCACAAAAGTTGTCTAATTTATAGACTACTTTATCTACGAGTATTCTTTGATTTACTAATAATTTTTGAACACCTAGTTTCCAGGGTTCTTTCTCTTTGTCCCTCAGAAAAGACCCCAAGTATGAGGTTGAAGGTCTTGATTGTGGCCGGATAGCAGGAAGCTGTAGTCGTTAAAAAAAAGGCGACGGTATCTTTCGTACACAAGTTTTATTATATTCTATTATCAATGATTATTGAACACAACTCTTCAGCTAAGATAAATCAAAGTGGTCCAGTTATTGTATTCACGCCTCCTAATCTTCTGGTGACACACTAAGAGGAAAGTAACCCGTGGTTTGACTGGACTTCTTGCGTGACATCCAAATGATTCCCACAAGGCAGAACACCGAAATTGTTGACATGGAAACCACTGCTGGGACGGTTACACCTGCAAGCAGACATTCAACAAGTTACGTTGTAATCTATAAATCTTTCTTTTTGACAACAGCAAACAACATAAATTTCGTTACATCCTTTGATAGGGTGTTTCAATGAAGGTTCCTAGATTGCCAAAGCTTTAGGATGGATTATTTTATGTTTGTGTGTCACTGCTCTCTTATTTGTCAGCATCAGAATTCATCAAAGCATAATGGGATCTTTTTTTGATATATATACATATTTTTGGTAATATCGGTTAAACTCCATGTGTATGTGGGTAGGAAGGACAATGAATGACTCAGTCGATTGCATGAAACGGCTGTCAGTGAGGGAGCCAAGTGCGAGGGAAACTGCTTCAAGAACTTTTTCCCAGTAAAAACATTGTAGC